CCATGTAAGTGTAAACAATTATTATACAAAACACTTTTTGTATCACTATTATGCAGCACTAGTCCTTATATCAAATTCACACAAAATAGCTTTACATTTCCCTTTATGGTATTTCTTTTAAGGATAATAGCATTTCTTAATGCAAATGTATCATTTTCATTGAAAAGAAACATTGCCTAAGCACAAGATCAGCCACAACATGCAGTTATTATTGGTAATAAGGAACCTACGCACACTTTACCATGTGGGATTTTAACTCAAATTAACAGAGAATGTAGATGCTTCTGCACTTGTTACACCTGTCTTTTCAAGCCACAATCACACCTATCACTAACAGAGTTACTCTGAGTATTTATTTACATAGAGATACTGTAGCACGTTTGGAGAGTAGATTGAGAGAATTTGTTTTTAATTGTCAGATTAGTTTTTCTTTTTTGTGTTTTTTTTTTGCATTAACTGTAACATCTTATCTCTTTTAATTATGTTGGACAGCATTTTATAGAACACACCCACAACAGCGTAATGAGAAAAAGGCTTACTCAACACACTCACTGTGCTTGCTCAGATCCCAGCAGCTTCACACTGGGTGGGCACAAATTCACATTTCCATGTCAATTACAGTTTACCACAAAAAGACAGTACATAATGAAATGAGCAAAACAGCACTTCTTCATCTCTTTAAGGACATACAGTAAGAATGGTTTCATTTGAGAGGAAACCACCTTGCTATCTTGGATACCAGTAGAGGCAGTGAAGGACTGACTCCAGCCAGATCCTTTTAACACAATTTGCCATCTTCACCTTCTAATTCTGAGGCTCAGGGTAGATTATTATATAAAGATAGGATACCGTTAATATAGTAAGTGTGATTCCTTTAATATTGAACCAAAGATATAGAACAGTCTTAATCTCCAGTCCATTTTGTTATGATCTTTCTGGGACTATTTACAAGTTGTACATTATAGTGTACTTTCTAAAAGTTAATAAACAAACATCATTCTTCAGGTAAAGCATGTAATACACCATTCTCAGCTTCATCCTGCCACAGCGCACACAGGTATAAAAACACACACATTCCTCAGTATGGCAAAGCAGAAAACAGCAGTAGAATTCCTTTAAGAATATGAATACATTTGAAAAAAAAAACTCGAAAGGATGCCAGTTTTTTCTTCAGTCTTGTATACTTTTTTCCCCACAATGATAGAACAACCCCATGGGGTGGAAAAAACATTGTCATAGAAGAGCTAAATTAATTTTAGTGCCCTCTAGGGAGAAACTATTAATATTTGAAAAAGACAGCGCTAGTCGCACAGATGTTATAAGGCAAAAGAGTGATTTTCTGAAGTTAGCTGATATGCCGTATTTGAGGTCACGAAAAACATGTCAGAGAAACGTGTGTGCAGTTCCTCCTTTCTTCAATCTTAGAACTAATCCTAGGATATGTACTGTACAGTACAGGGAGATATTGCCAAGGTACTGAGACTCTCGATACTGTAGGATGCGTGTCACCCTATAAAGCAGGTACAGGTGAGCGTCTTCTTAAAACCGTAACGCGATGCGTCTTTTACTGTCCACTCGAAGAGCTTTTTAAAAGGCTCGTCTCCTGTTCACTTCGCTCCCGGGAGAAGAGAGCGGTTTTTTGTACGAATCTCGTCTCCTGCCGCCTCGATAGCTTGCAAGAGGCGAGGAAGGACACGCTGGTTTTTCCTCACTCGAATGCAATGAGCTCCGCGTACCCGTTCAGGACATTAACGCTAAAGGGTCTGCCGTGTGGCAGTCTCCACTAGCACCAATATGTAAGCATCACAGTACTGCTTCGGGAAATATGGGAGTTAACATCAGTAGTCAAAATGTAAGCTCATGTATGAAACAAAAAAAAGAAGAGTTACGTTCTCGCTCATTATCGGTTTTGCTGCTGTTTGAGAACATCACTATTGTTACATACAGTAATAACGATAACAACATTGCCACAACTTTACTTTTACTTACCAGTTGCATACTACATATAAAGACCAGTGTGCACCGGCCACTGCAACAGCCCATGATGAAAAGCTCAAGTGAGGCTTGCTGTCCCACGTGGATCACTGTAACTCCAAAATCCAGTTTGATGCCTGATTCGCCAAACACACCTGGAGCCCAGAGTTCGTGAGTGACCACTGGGTGCAAACGACGCGCACTAGGACCGACTTGGCGTCACACTAATCATCAATTAGAGCCTTTCTTGTCGGCATACCTTACTCCTCGTGTATAATTCTTAATTGGTTAGGCGGTGGCAGCACAATCATATCCAGTTATTACATTCATAAACACATGGAATGTTTGTACCAGTTGTTACTGGTAATTTCCGAGTGGCTTCTTTCACAGACGGGCAATTTTCAACTGCCTACTTCGTCCAGGCTTTATCCCAGTGCAACGGCTTAGAAACAAAAAAAAAGTCAACTGGTTTAAAAACGGGATTGTTTGCGTTCTGTTTGCTTACATCTCTCGAAAAAGAAGACCCGTTCTACTAAAAAGAGACCCATATTTACGTCTACCTAAAAAAAAAGTAATCCTCGTTTAAAAAAAAGGATGTCAAGGATTCATAAACTCTCTCCAAACGTCCATGTCATTGCCCCTTCTAGAAATGAACAATGTCAATCTTCCATCGCAGTCTGTTGACGAGACAAAGGTGCATTTGCATTATTGTTTACGAATATGTAGTGGCTTTGATTGCTGCTCCCTTCCCGAATAGGTTGTCTAGGTCGCAGGATACAATAGATTTTATTATTTCCCCCCAATGGAAAGATGACAGCAAGATGCCAGCTGTTACCTTTAAAAGTGAAAGGGAAAAATAGCAGCGGAGCCAAGAGCAGTAGTAACACTAAGTCCCCCCGTTAGCTGTGTGATTTCCTACTGCTATCACAAGAAGCAGTGTGACACACAGAAGGATGAACAGGAGAGAATAATAGTCCGTGATCGGCAGAACTGAACAGTATGTTTCTGGAAAGAGAGATGCTGCTGCGCATCTCAGTTGCCGAATTCATTACCTCCTCACGGATCCTCTTTATTCTCCTACTCGGTTAAAGAAAGTAGTTGGAAGTAGTAAGCGGAATTCAGATGAGCTGCAAATAAACGGGAGCCGGGAAGAGTCGCGGAGCACCGTGCGCTGAGAGCGCCGCAGCCAGACCCGCCATCTGATGCCGCAGATGGAATCAAGCGCACGCAGTGTCACCCTCGGTGGGGAAGCGGCGGGGCTCCTCTGCCTCTCACCGAGCTCCAGACTGATGTGATACAGGGCACAGCTGAGGATATGGCCATCCAAATCCACGGGATTAGCTTTGCGCTCCTTTTTCCCGGTGGGCGGGGGCAAAGGAGGCTTGGGTGTTTTTCTATTATTATTTTCCATTAGTGGTGTTATTTTTCCTGTCACCTGTGAAATTTATGTTTGCAAACAGGCTGTACTTGGTTACCGATTGTTAAAGGATCACCGTCAAGAGTGCTGGTCTTTCATTTACAGTTATTTCTGACATATTACATGGGAACTCGTTGTTCGTTTGGTTGATTGTGATTTCATGTTACCATATAGGTTATGTCAATTATTTATTTATACGCTTTTAATGATGTGCTGTAATTTCCAAAGAACTAGCGTTTTTAAAATTATTTAAGTATATCTTACCAAAATATTTTATCTGTCTCTTAAATGCTAGAGTAAATTAAACATTTGGACTAGGCTTGACTTATATTAACATTCTTCTTTACTGTTTAAAAATATTATTAAAAATATATAATTTTTTTGGAAAAGTTCAGATAGTAATATACAATTGCAGTATTACAACAAAATGCATTTTATTGTGTTATTTTGGAGTCTTCGAGTACAGGTCAAGGAACGTGAGGTTGAATCTTGAATCTTCAGGTTAAGAAGGTGCGTGTAACTTTACAAGATATTCCCTAGTTTATTCTAAAACACTTTGAAAAGAATCCTGGATCAATCGGTAGTTTGGTGCTATTTTTTTAAGTTTTGTGGTGGATCAATTAGCAGATACTGGTCAGCATGCCTCATATTCCTCATTGCCGTTTTCCAGCAAAATCAGGAAGGAAAATCAAAACTATGTTTCTACAATTGCTATATCTTTCTTTTAAAAAAACAAATCAGAATGCATAAAATGTAAGAGGTTGAAATGCATTAAGAAAAGTACAGTATAAAGGGTGTTTGGAAAGTGGGGTAATATTTTCAGAAAATGTTAAATCAATACTCATGTCTGATACTACAATACCGTCTCACCAGAAATGCATGTGTAATTGCTATCTCACTCATTAGAGGGCATTGGCTTCCCGGTGAAAATGGCAATATGTATGGATCATGTGCTTGAGCAAAGAAGGAGGATTGAATTCCTAACAAAGAACTGTGATTGCAAGTAGGCTATGAATATTTACAACAGGATGAATAAGGTTTATGGGAATAACCATGACCTAATTCAGTGCATATAGTATGAGTGGCTGAAAAAGTTTAAAGAAGGACAACCGACACAGATTATACTACAAGGGCTGAGAGGCTAAAAATGGTAGTGCATGTATTCAGTGAGCTGTCCAGATCATTAATCTAAATAATTCGATTTTTGTTAGGAGCATTGCAAGTGATCTAAAAAATGGGCACACATTTGTATGTATAGCATGAAAGCATGACATACAAACTGGATTTAACTTCTTCACTGGTTTAACTGAACATAATGACATAGAAGAGGACTCTTTCACTACCATAATCAACAGTTATGAATTATGGATGCACCAGTTCTTATCTAAAACACATTGCTACACATCCATCTTGATTAAAAAATATCCAGTCAGTCTCTAATTTAAGACCATGATACCCTTTGAAGCCACTAGCTTAAAATACTATAATTGATTATTGTATCTCCAGCCATAAACCAATATGGTTTGGAACCTGTGTGCCAACATAATTTTAAAAAGTGCATTAAATATCTTTCAGAAACATGGGGTGTAAAGTCTCTGAGTGCACAATAACCAGCCAATCAAGCAAAGGTGTAAAGGAGTGCACAGTTCATGGGAAGGTCTTGGGATTTCACTTCTCAGTGGTTTATTGTCAGGAGGACTCATGGTAGGTACAGTCGCTTAGTTTGTTGCCAATTGACTCCTTTAACCCAAAGGTATCAAACCCATCTGACCAGATTTGATTGTTTGTTTTCATTAGTAGTATTTGTGTTACTCATTACTGTCTGTGTATGTGCTATTTTTTAGCATGATTAACTGTAATTATTTTAAAAATCACAGCTGTAATTGTTGCACACTTCATAAATCTATGTTTTTAAAAATACTTTGTGTTATTGTGCAAGTGTTCACTGTCACCCCTCGCAATATAGAAACTCACTTTACAATTTGTTGCATCTTCAGAGACTCTTCTGTTTTGATCCATTTTGATCTCAGATGTGTGTTGCAAGTACCAAAACCAAAAAATTTGATAACAAAACCAAATCAAATGAGGAAGGCATTTCCTGAAGTGCCAGACTGGGCAGAGGAGGGATAATAGTCATAAGACATTTGCACAACCTGAACTTAGCTGCACTGTGCAGTTGTTAAACAGTTAGCAATTTCTTTTTCTGCAATCATTTTTATGCAAAAACACACTCCCATAAAACTAGACCTATGACAACATCAAACTTGGTGATTGAGATTGGAGGCATATAATTGCAAAGAGAGCTGCGTGTGCCAACCTATTTCAATAACATTACAAAGTCACACCTGCTTCATATCTGGGCTATGCAGTCTCAAGCAAGGCAGGAAATGAGTCCCAACCAAACTCTGACAACCCTCCTACCACAAGGGCCAAACAAATGTTCTTGGTGGCCATGAACTGACATGTCTCTACAATCCACATCTCTACACTGTGGCTACAGTACAACAATCACTGCATATCAGGGCATGTCTCTATATGGCGGGGCACGATGCTTTTGATCAATGGTGCCTGCAATCAATACTCCACATTCACTTGAGTGAACATATTACCAACATTAAGTTCTGTCCAAGAAAAATGTGTCAGCCAGTGTCACAAATAGTCTGGAGCAGGAGCCTCTGGTTCATTGGTGATTTTGTTTCTGATGGACACCTCAGTGTATCACACTACGCCTCGGCCACATTCTTAGACTGCAAGACCAGAGGTGACCCTAGGACTGATCATGGCTGACGTGGACATGCTCAACCAAAGCAGACCTCAAGCTTCACAGTCATGGCCTACAATGACTTACAGCTGTAGCTGTAATAGGATAGGACCATCTACCAGTATCTCATTGGTATGATTATACCCCAGCTAGGAGCAACAGACAGATGATCACTGCATCATTGTTTCCTCACAGCCTGATGTTCTGATTATGAGTTATCTGATTTTTATCTCCTTATACTCCTTAATAAACTGCTATGGAGTCAACATTTCAAGTCATTATGGTGCTCAAGACGGAGGTGAAGCAAAATACATAATTTTATCTTATCTTAATTTCTGTATCATATTATGACAATGCACACAGTGGAGTCAGAGGTAAAGACTGGTAGTGTAGTGGATTAGAAGAGTGTTGAAGAATAATTGATCATTAATATTTTTTTCTATTAAAATAGTTATTTTTAATCTAAAAGGAGCCTTATGTGTTTTTCACATAAGAGGGATCTATTTCATCCAGTTGGGTCATGCATGAAAGATATTATGTGTCTGGCACCCTATATAATGATCAGGAGCATGAGGAAATAATTTTTTTTATCTCTTGAAGTAAGAAAGAAAGTTAGAAGGGACAGATTGTAAAGGTCCAGAGGGGAAAGTACCCAGCACACTGCAGTTAACACCCCTACAGTTTTTGAAAAGAGCTATAGAATCATGGCAAGGTGTCAGAAACTTGGTTTGATAACTCTTTCATTGGATAGCTTATCTCACAGCAGTGTCCCCATCTGGTGCACTAAGACATCGTTTGGAAATCATGGCCAGT